TAGAAATGACTCAGCCTGTAACTGAAAATGTGGATGAAGGACCTCAGTTTAGCTTGTTTGTCGCACTAGCACCGAGCTAATACATATAGAAATATAGCGTTGGCGCTAGCGCAAAGGCTAACAAGCTAAGATGAGGTTCTTCTTCCATGAAGCAGCTCTGTTGTCCTCCATCCATATTTTCAGTTACAGGCTGAGTCATTTCTACCTTCTCCTCTCTGTCAACGCTCTCTGYTTTCATTTAAAAGAGTCGATCATCAGATATTGTCCAAGATTAACCTTCAGGGTGGATATAGTTCGCTCACGCTGATGACCTATCCATGTCATCATTTACCCAGAATGCTTTGTGTAAATAAAATGGCTCCGTCCGTGTTAAAATATATTTTTAAAAGTTTACAAAACCAAACGTTCAACAGTATTTTTAGTCTTTTTTTACAGTTAATACAAATGTTTATCAAATAAAGTCTAATGTTACAACTAATCATGGATCCCTTTAAAATAAAAAAAAAAATCATTAAAATTAGAAGTAAATCTCATTTTTAAATTTGAAATAGTGCATATAGCAGATAATCCACACGGTTGGGTTTTTTCCTTTCTTTTTAAAACTCTAGGTAGTGATTGTTAGCGCCGCAGCAAAAACCACCTTAGCTGATTTTCAATCATGCAGCACCACAGGTGTCAGGTCAGGCAGGTCTCCGAGGTGGGGCGGTAATACAATAACCCAGTGGCAAGCCCCCCGTTTGGACGTGTTGCCAAGTGTAGAAGCAAAAAAGGAGTCCAACTATTCTCCGCAGGCCAGTGGGAGGGCCTTTTCTGAGGCGCTGCTGTTCAAAATGACAGTGGCTGCTGACGGACACAGTCTGAGATCACTGAGCACTCGTGGCTTCTGTGTCCTTGAAGGAAACACGAGGAGGCGGACAAGTACCACTGAGACCAGTAGGATGTCTCTCTGCTCCCACTGTCCTGTCAACACAGCAGTGCCCACCCCTAATCCAAGTGATCAAAGCCTGATGGAGGGAACAAAAAGAAAGGAGGTTTTCTTCACATCACAGAAGTTGGGATATGGTAACGGAGAATTTCAAATAATCTATAATAACAGCATAAAAAACCTGATTATMGTGTAATTACTAATACAACAAAGCTAAGTTTACTTTCCTTTGGTGATTAAACTCCTGAAACAAACCAGAATGAGACAGAGTGAGGTATGAAGGGGGTGGGCGAGCTAAAACAAATGGCACCAAATGATTAAAAATGATGCAAGGCTGTCACCAGATGGCCACCGTCTTTTCACAGTGAACTAATGTGCTGTYCTGCCACATCCATCCTCCATAGCCTTCATTTATTCTACGGATAAAATGTGCAGTCTGCAGAACAATCTATGATGATATCCACAAACGCATGACTGCATACTTCTAAAGCAGAATTAGACTTTTGCATGCAGTGCAGGAAAAAAAATGGGCACACACATACACGAGCACATGCACAAAGACACCAACCCCGAGTCTATTTATTTTCCATCTAACTGAATTCTCACAACTCCTCTGGCAAGCCAGAGGGATCATTACTATATTTAAATAATTCACACAAGTTAGAAATCTCCTCAGGTTGTTTGGTGTTCCCTTTTTCTTTTCGGGCAACGTTCATTTGTGTGGAGCTGGTGTCGTCGTGCTGCTTCCTGGCTGCGATCGTTGGGAGTCTTTGTTGGAAATGTTGGCGTGATCGGAGCCGACTGTTGGCTCTGACCACGAGCCGGTCCAGGGGCAGAGTCAATAAGAGGGCGAGAGATGGATTGGAGAATTATCTGYGATACTTGAGCAGGATGCGCTGGGATGGAAACAAAAGGAAGCAAAAAAAACAAGAAAGAAAAGTCGAAGGAGAAAAATGAGATAAGCTCTGGCATAGTTTGGCTACTCGCTGTCTCGAGTGCTGATCTGCTCTGCTCTCAGCCTCGGGCTTTAGCCTCAGCCTCCTCCACAGCTCCCTGCGTCTCTCTCAGCATGGAGCCCATCTGATCTGCCACACAGGCCTCCGCCAACTCTCATTAAACACTGAGGAGACTTAGACTAAAATACAGATGAGCCTCTCTGGCTTCACACTTCCCCCCGACGAGAGGTGGGAGCTCACATTTAGACACAAGAGTCATTGTGAGCAGACGTGCGCAGAGTTTTGTTACTGACGGTGGCAGCCTGTGAAGCTGATATATAATGTATGAAAATATGGCCCTGCTCTGAGGCAGCCGTGTTAATTTTTAAATACAGAATGACAAATGACCGTCAGCATTTCAACAAAACAAAGACTTGGCTGGACAATGGGCTCAGTTCACCGCATTTGCACGTTGTCGATTTCAAACCCCAAATTCAGCTGAAAGCATCTTAGATCCCTAAAGGACGAAGGCAACAACAAATTCAGCTGAAAGCATCTTCGATCCCTAAAGGACGAAGGCAACAACAAATTCAGCTGGCCGACCAGCTTAAGACAAAACAGACTGTAACAACATATTAACCAGTGCAGGCAGCAAAACAACAAAATCAAGTTTGGTGATACTCATTTCAAAGCACTAATGCTGAAAGTTAAACACACCAGGGAGCTAATAATCAACACAGAACTCCAAGTTTAGATAATTAATGAAGTCTTGAAACAAGACCAGCATTAAATCATGTAATTTTCACAACGCAGCTCCAAAACAAAGGAAGAGGGGAGAAGGAAGAAAAAAAAAACAGCCTCTCAAGGCCGACATAAAAAATAAAGAACACTACTTCTGAATCCAAATGTCAGTCGTGTCTGAATGAATAACATCATACTTATCTGCTGCATTACATCTCCACATGCAATTCATTCCTCTCAAGTCTCGTTCAGAGACAGACCAAAACCACTTTGTAGACCCGTGAAAACTATATGCTTGGTGATAATTAACTGCAGTAAATTATAATGTGCTCTCTGTCTGCGTGGAGCATTTTTTTTCTCTACTCTCGTCACGTTCATAAATCATTCATGTGTAAATCACATATTAAAGAAAAAAAATGATTCAGAGGTTCTTGCAGATCTATGCTGGGTCGTGCAGGGGGGGTGACACGACTTCAGGTGTTGGAGGCTGAGATCTGGAACTGGTCTCGGATGGATAACAAGTGGGGGCGGAGGGGCAGGGGGGGGTGGCTGCGCTCAGTTGCCAAACAACAGGACTGACAGGTGTAAGTGGGGTCATGCTGCTCTGGCATCTCTCATCAACAGTAAAAAATTGAGTTCTTTCTTTCACAAACTCTGTAAAAATGTGTTTGCGGGGCACAATGCATTATATTTCCTTTTTGCCACAGCTCCTTTAGAGTTGGAATTACACACTTTCTTCTCACGGTGCAGCAGATAGATGGAGGAAGGTGGGGTGGAGGGGGGGGGGTTGGTCTAACAATAGCAGCTTGGACTGACATTAATCTCTTTAAGCTCATGGAGGTCAGTATCCTGCTTCGCTGTGGAGGAATGTCAAGCGTCCCTGGGCACGGCTTTAATTCTAATTCCATTACTACTTTTCTCCGGCGCCGATAATTCAAACTCCGTCCAGATCCTGATGTTGTGCATTTCCTCCGCGGTACTCCCGTCTGCTGCTGTGTATTCCAGCGGGCCATGTTACTTACACTCATTCTTGACATCTAGTGATGTCTTTACATGTAAGGCAACACCCTGATTCACTGAGGAAGATAACCTCAGTTTTAGCTGCCACTACCAGAGGGGTTGGATTTCCTTGTCTGATATTTACAGAAGGTGGGAGATTTCTCCTGCAGTCAGCACGGCTGCATCATCCCAGCTGTCTGTCCTCACACCCATCTGCTCTTAGAAACACTCGACCTTTCTCAACTTCCCCCTCATTGTTATTACTCTCTCTCTCTCTCTCTCTGGATTCTATCTGATTCCTTCAGTTTCTATCCCTGCTTCCACCTTCTACCTGTGTTTTCCTGTGCTGCTCTCTGCCTTGTTGTCTTCTCCCTGTCAGGGGGCTAATGCAAGGCTGCAAATGAGGCAGCTTGACTTCCATCTCAGGCTCCCAGAGATCAATAAGTGTTGCTCACTATCAGGCAGGACACTCTCTCTGCTACTCCAGCGCTCTCACAAAAGAGACCGAGGTGGTAAARGAAATGCCCACAACACTTCCCGCAAAGCTCCGTATTTCAGCTTTTTTTTGCTGCTTGTATTTAATAAAGCAGCTTGAGAAGCAAATATTAACAAATGTACAAGCAGCTGTGACACAAAAAAACCAAAGCTGAGATCACGTGTATGAGCTTCAAGCAGAAATGCGGCTGAAAGAAAAGTTGGGTCTGTGCGCAGTGCAGATGATCAAAGGAACAAAGTCTGATAATAAATCACTTTTTGAATGAGGTCTTATTAGGCTCTGACATTGCTGAGTAAGCAGACTAATTGCAGGAAGCAACAAAAGCTCTGAATCTACAAAAAAGGATAAAAAACTAAAGGGGCTGTACAAAAGGGCAGCCAAGAAAAGATGATTTGATGAGTTCTAGATGCAACAAAGAAAAAAGAAAAAAGAAAGAAGAAGCCACGGGAAGCCAAGCGCCATAGAACACACAAGGGTTGCCTGGGAGTTACCTGGACAGGTGGCCACACAGGCACTTTTCTGGACGTTCTGCCCCTCGCAGGACGTGCCTCCGTTCAGCGGCGTGGGGTTYGTGCAGCTCCGGCTCCTCTTCTGCCAGCCACGCCCACACACAGCGCTGCAGGACGACCAGGTGGTCCACGTGGACCAGCCGCCGTTGACTGTCAGACCAACACCGGGAGATGGGGGGAGAGGGGGAGAGGGGGGATGGATGAAGGAACAGAGCAGCCAGGATTACCCGACATGCAGAAAAGAGGGGGAATAAAAAAATAAATCAATAAAATAAATAAAAAGGTGTGCTGCGCAAGAAAAATCGTGACTGCTTTTACGCTCCGTGGTTCCACACTGTAAGGTGAACACATGGGAGAGGAGGAGCGAGGGCTGGGGTGGGGGGCTGCTTCCTGTGCATGAACTGGAATCACAGCCAAACACGGTGAACAAACAAGATGGCTTCAACAGAGAGCAGAAAATAATCTGCAACTCGCCATCTTTCACCTCATCTCTGAGGTCTGCACAGGTGCTGCAAAGTAARAAGTGGACATCTCAAACACTTCCTCCCTTTTAGCTCGTTTCCATTAAAAATACTGTATARGACACGGGGAAAAGGTCACAATAGAGCCATGCTATTTTAAATCAACGCTCAGGATTCTTTATTAATTAAAAAGAACACCTTGTCCTCGGAAAAAGACGACYGGCTGAAAAATAATTAGACGAAAACATGACTGCAGATCAAACTGTTCTTCATGCGCTCACTACTGGTTTGACACCGCTGTGTGACTTTCTTTAAAAAAAAACATACCCTGTAGCRAAAGCTCAGTCAGTTCACGAACTTTAAACACGGATTTTTCTATTATCGCTGCCACTCACTGAAACAGTGCTCGTCGTCTAAACTTTCACCATGAACTGGCACATAATTGCAGCTTTAGTGTCTCAATCAGGAGAGGTGATTACGTCYGATCTTGCAGGTTTTGTCCCAGCATCCACTCTGTTTTCCCCCCAGCTTATGAAGCACAGAGATTCCTGATTTATTGACCTGAGCAGCACTGTCGTTCCCTCTCTGTACATACTCCTGTCCTAATTTCRCCCTAACTCTCCGTGCTTGTCGTGCCTGAATCATTTCCTCACCCTCTCTATGCAATTGATTGCCCGGCACAGCGAGGTAAATTGCCAGGCAACTCGGCCTCTGATTACCTCTTAGCACAGAGTGCAGTCACACCAGCCCYGTCTCGTTAAAATGCATCTCTGGCCCCCTGTTGAACTGCCTTGGAAAAGTAGCGGTTATTAGGGCTTGCTACCGCTAGGGAGATTAACTAGCATGGAGGACAGGGAAACTTATTTTCCTGCTGRAAGATAAGGAAACATGGACATCAGTAGCAGGTCTGCTTTGAACAAATTACACTGCTGTGATTTAACCTCAGTATGTGCCACTTTATCAAGCATATATTAAGAAGGCAAGGCATCGCACAAGAGGGTTTACCAGCAATCCTTTAAAAAATATAAAAATAAACTAACATTTATGTCATAAAAAAGGCAAACAGCAGAAGAGTGAATGCTCTTGCCTCCATGGAAAACTCTATATTTCTTTTAATAGCAAACTAATCAATTATAATCAGTGCAAGGCATAATTGCACGTTTTATTTTTATGCCTGAGGCTGGAGGGAACGTATGAGGATGTGTGTTTTGACTGCCCGCTCTAAATGAACACATTTCTTCTAAAAACCCTTCACAGTAAAAAAAAATCTTTCTAAATGAGTTTTCTTCATAAAGACTGGATGCAGTCAGATTTTATAGGTTGTCAAACTTAAGGAAAAGCCTGAAAAGATAATTCATCAAGAACTTAAACACAGGCGTGTACATACTGTAATGCTAACAGACTGATCAAATATCTAACCTTTATTAGTAGTTTAGTGGAAGATTATGTCATAAATTGGCATAAAGTGTGACAGGTCCTTTGCCTTTTCACTTTGCATTTATCAAGTATAACAATAAAAAAATCACATCAATGCACAACATTTACGTCACATTTTATTGATCATGTGCYAAGTCGATATGTCAAATGTTAACACATTCTCATTCTGATTTTTAATATTTGACTGATAAATCACGTTTTGTTGCCAATTGTCTTTTATATAAATGAACAAAATTTATTAGAATTGAATTAAGGAAAGRCTGGGCTGTTTTGTGAACTATAAGTTTTAAGTTCCACCTCTCCATGTAAACAAACATAGTACTTATTTTAATAAATAAAARCCTCAGATAATTAGTTCAAATGTTTACTCTTTATGGCTTACTTAGTTCTTACACTGTTTAGTTGCAAGTTATTTAATGTTTTAAGGAAAGTTCATGTGACACCATGACTGTGTGTGTGGAGTAGGTCTTAAAGCTCCATYTCTCCAACATGAACACACATGGTCTAAAAATACAACATGACAGCTCCTGTATACCTGCTCCTGCTGGCCTCAGAAGGCGGGGACACCTGGTTTGTCTCAGCTGTAGATTTAGCAATGACGGAAGACCAACATTAGTTTTTYTCTTTCATGGTAAATCCCTCTGTGTATGACTGTTAGCAAAATATCTCAGGAACCACTGGATAACTTTTAAGGAAACTTTGTAAAGTAAACATTGAATGTGCATCAACAACCTTTGGAGCACCAAGGGACAAAATCCCCTACATATTTAAACAAAATGTGTTTTTTTTAACTATTTGGCAAAAATGATGTATTAATTTTAGATATTTCTGAAAAAAACACCACACAGACTTAAAGTAGCCCCTCATGTTTTCTGACCAGCTAAGACTGTGATTGTATATTTCTCCACYGATTTGTTGCTCTGCTGGATTTCACTTCCTGTTTACTTAATTTTTTACAATTTTGTTGTGCTCTGACTTTATTCCAGCTGCAGCCTGTGTSAGAAGGTTTAGTGTACACCAGCTGATGACAGCACACATATGTGAGAAACTATAAAAAACATAGCCAGTTTCGAATTGCTGTCACCTCRTTTTGTGTTGACGTTTCTGCACACACACATTCACACTCTGTCTGCAGAATGTGGACATCCCCTTAAAATTTCCCAAAGCAGCACCTTCACACAGAGGTGTGGAGGTGTTTATTTGCACTTTAAAATGTAACTGCAGTGAAAAATACAATAAACTGGTAAATTAGGTTTTTCTGTTCAGTGACTCACATCCTTAGTCATTTGTGTTCAAATATGACTCTTTTTTTTAACAATGACCACCTATTATAACTCTCATAAAGCATGTTAATAAGGTTTATAACTCATTAAAATATCCACTAACATCCTGAGAGCATTTTCTATTTATTTCAGATTTTATTTTACTTTATCATTATTTAACCAGGCAAATCCCTTTGTGATCCCATCTCTTTTGCAAGGGCGTCCTGGGCCTGAAGGCAACCTATTGTACACATTTTTGGGGTGTGAGGGAAACRGGAGTACCCAGAGAAAACCCWTGCAAGCACGAGGAGAACATGCAAACTCCACACAGAAAGACCACAGGTTCGAACCYGGGATCAAACCCAGGATCATCTTGCTGTGAGGCGTCAATTACTCAGTAACTTTAATGTATTTCTTGTAATTCAAGGTACAGTTTAGATATCAAAAACCCTCAAATAAAACAATCTAAGTATGAACATTTGTCTATTTTAAGCTAATATATAAGCTACATCAGTGATCAACAGTTTTACCTGTAAGTCCTTGTGTTACAATAATAATAGGAATTGTGATGTTTCTCTCCACTGCCAGAATCARGCTCGTGTAAGTGCAAATACTCATAAACACACAAACTGTTCACCAACTTATTTCTTTTGTAAAACCCTTTGAAGAACATTTTCCTAATGAAAAACAGTCACCTTGCTCTCCTGCACACCTTTGTGTAGCGATGAGACATTAGGATGTTTGTGATGGTCTGCTTTATTTTTTTATTTTTTTTAATCACAAGGTAAAAGTTTCTTCGACAAACAGAGGTGAATGAGAGAATTTCCTGAAACTCTGTGTTTGACCTTCTCGGGTAAAACATTTGTCCTTTGACAAACCAAAACGTTTTGTCTCTTTTGTCCTGGAAATATTTTTATTTGACACAAAATCTGTTTGAATGAAGGCAAGCTCCTCATCAGAGCTAATATGTTTTACTGTATGTCCTAAGTGCTGAAAACAGAAGTAAAACAAACTGTGGTTTATTTAATAAAAATGTGTCAGCTCCAGAAAAATGGGGCTRAATTTCCTCCTAATTCTTGCTGCAAATCCTTGAGTAAAGATGCAGACAGAAAGCCACTGGACTATTTTATCTATTAGGCTCACTGATAAAGTTCAAGTTTGATATATATTTTTACAACGCCTCACTCCAGTTTGTGCAGGATTATTTTAATTTATTTTACCAGGAGAAACGCATTTACATTAAAAATCTGCTTTGCATTTTTCTCATGTCTCCTGTACTTTTTTTGGGGAAAAAAAATTCACAACAATAACACCATTTAAATAAAATAAATCATAAAATCTCTTCTTTACGATATGATGCATCTGTACATTGATCATATAAAACACTTACATGAACTGGATTGGTTCCAGAAACTATTCGATTGTATAAGCAAGACTATTTTCTGTAGGTTTCTTAAATTTGTCCAGTGGTTTGTGAGATATTTTGCTAYCAGACAAACATACAGAGACATATAGACAAGGATAAAAACATTATCATCAGCTTTTGCCTTACAAATACACAAAAGGTCACTACTTCCTCACTGCATCATTCTGTTGTCTTTAGGAATCTTAAGACAGAATATGTGTTTCAAAATATTCAGTCCTAATTCACAAAGTGGTTTCATGAATTATTCTACGGCTGGACGATAATTTGATTGTGATTATTGATCAAGTAAATTTTCAGGTAGATCACGGTGATCAGATGTGAGCCTCTTTACTCAATCAAACATGGCGGAAATGTGCGCGACAACAGCCAATCAGAATCCACATTCTGCTCCACTTCCGTTTATAAGTCGCTAAGGAAACACGGACGGAATCACAGAATTGACCAAACAAAATGTAATCCAGTATAAAARGCTGAATCTCACAGGTTTTGCTTATTTGGGTGAGTTTCTGAGGTATTTTGGCCGCTGTCACTCCCTGTYCCTGCAGTTACCTGCTAACAGGCAGGGTGAGCTCTGAGCTCCTCTCCCGACACACAGAGAGACGGAAAAAGAAAAGTGAGCCGTGATGCGGCGGTTGAAACAGACTCGCTAAAACAGAAACGCCCTCCAAAAATATAAAGTTTGGGYTAGTGTTTAGGACAGAACAATGTCCCAGCGGCTCTTCATTTTTCTGGAGAACTTTTCTGTAAGTTTTATCGGCACAAGATGGGCTGGACGCGACGTGAAGACCACTTCCTGTCTGAGTCACATCACAAAATGCTTTGTCCATTTGATACAGCACTGGGGGTCATGTGTGTGTGTGTGTCTCAGGGGGGGGTCCCTTCCATGACAGAAGCAAATAATGAGCTTAGATCCTTTTCAATAGGCAAGTGTGCACAAATTATTGCTGTTTGTAGAATTTATGTTTATGACATATTTAATACGAGATTCAACTCTAAAACTTTTTTGTTTTATAAAAAGATTAACTTTATTAATGTGAGATTCTATGATTTACATATAAAGAACATTTTTTTCTTGGTAAACACCTTGCAAAAATAATTTAATGTTCTACTGATCCGCAGCTGCGTATTCATTACATTAGTGAAAGTGAAATAACAGCCATTATTTTTTTTCTGTAGCCATTTATTTGTTTAATTATTCTTCAGTCACTTTATAATTAAACACTTTTTAGTTTTATAAAAAAATTGTGGTAATTGGATGATACGAAAAAATTAATTGTGCTAATTTTTTTTACCCCCAGACCTAAATCTTTCGCACAAGATTTTCATGACTGTTTGCGTGCAGCTGAGAATTAAGACCGTCTGTATATACGGATGCTTTTCACTGAGCCCCCTGTGATAGCAAATATGCTGCATTTTAATAAAGGTCACTCTGCTTATCCAGCCAAGTCATTATTTACAGTTTGCTCTTAATTCAATTTTTCCCCCTCCTCCTGGATCCACAGCAGAGGGGAGGAGGAGGAAGATGGCAGCCATGACATCCGAGACTGCCAGCTCTTCCAGAAATCCTGCCAGCAGCGTTTTAAGTTGTGTTAATTAATGTCCAGATATACTACTACTATTCATTACTTGGTGGAAAAAAGAGAAAGCTGACGTGTGCAAGTTWTCACCATATGTCCCTCACATGCAGCGCTGCTTCAGACACAACTTCACAGTAAATTATGGACAAAAACGAACAAATGCCAAATAAAACCAAAAGAAAATCTTCACTCAGATATGTTTCATGCTGCATGCAAAATTTAATGTGGAAATAAACAAAAAGCATGCGTCCACAAACTGATTCTGTTTTTGCTTTTAGGTTTGTTTGTTTTTCAGATGAAACCTGACGTTAGCTTCCACGTGTGTCTTTTCAACACCTGCTCGCAGGAAGTAGCACCACCTACCGTAGATGAGGACCGTGGCAGAGTTGCTTTTGCGGCGAGCGACGATGTTTTTGGCCACGCACGTGTAGTTGCCCGTGTCTGCCAGGCGTGCTTTTTTGATGACAAGATRGTGGTCGGTCGTGATGAAATAATTGGGGTCGCTTGCTGGGTCGACCAAATCCTCGTTCCTCTGCCACTCCACCTGGAACGAAAATTTAATGGTCAAAATTCCCTGTAAGGTCATATGAGCTGGAACAGACACGATAAGGGTGGGGGGGGGGGGGGGGGGCTAAAAGGATTTTTTTTTTGATGCAATCTGACTGACAAAAAAGGCTTGAACTGACATGAAACTGAGAAAACTCATGTCCACTGATTTGAATATTTATTCCTTTTTTTTACTGAGAGGAGATGGCAGCTTTTATTTCGGAGCTGCTGGTGGTCTGAGACCAAAGCCAATCATGCTCTGCAGCTTCTTTATTCTTTTCCAGGAGCGAAGTTTGATGTGTTTTTCTCCAGTTTTTAGTGTGCTCGCGAACTGGCCTGCTTGTTTTGTTGCTCTCACTTGACCTTGCGCTGTCTCTGGAGAAGCCATGGTATGGCAGCATTGTTGCTGGTATTACTGCCAGTTGCGATACCGCATATAATTGGGCTTTCTTCCTCTGTCTGTTTTCTCCCGTGGTGACTTCTGCTCTGATGTTCCTTTCTGTTGAACCGCAGTTGGCACCTTCCTTCTCGTTTCTCTGCACACAGTCCCTTCGCTGTCGAGCTYTGATTGGCTCGTCCGCCGCCTCTCGGTCTCTGGGCTGCCTGAGCTCCGAGCCCGAGCTCCTGTTGTGCTGTTATTAGAGCAGTTAGCGCCTATATGGGACGGGGAGGATGCAGCGCATGAGGTGAAACAGCTGGCACCACTCTGGCCCTCTAAACACACACCAGCTACGAGAAAAGGAAGTGGAGTAGAGCATGAGAGACGCTGCGCGTGGACAGACGGAATGAGATAAGGACACAGTGAGGCAAACAGAGCCATTCATTATAGATGGGCCTTTAGAGATGCCAAACGGGGAGTGAAGCCTCCAAGCCTATCCTGACTAATGTGACGAGATGATGTGATATATGGCTTCTCAGAGATGTAAAAGAGATAATAAATCAATAACAGGGAATAATTAGAGCTGTAATTTATCTGTGTAGGGTTGTCTGCTCCCTGTGGAATGCAGAAAGATACCAGCGAGCCGAGTCAGAGTGTGCTCTTTGTCCCCCCGGTGACGGATGGGTGAACTGATGCTACATTTCAGCCTAAAAATATCTCCTGTTTCTGTGTCTCACCTCAGCTTGTGGCACTCCCTCAGGGGGATGGCAGCGCAGCAACACCTCCTGGTCCAATGCCACCTCTTTGCCCTGCGGCTCCTCCTCGAAGTTCTTTCTCAGGTCTTGCAGATATATAAAGAAGAGGAAAAAAAGGGAGGGAGAGGAAAGACACACAGCCAATTAGGTTGTCTGCAGGAGCTTGTGACATTTGAAAGAAATCCTTCGGTTACCAAAAAAAAAAAAAAAAAAGAAAAAAAGAAACTTGGTCTGGTTTCTAAATTCCGCTCTCGAAATGTTCAGCTATGGCCTCGGTGAGCATGTCGCACTCCAGTTGGCCCCTAAGCCACGGTGGAATCAGTGGCACCAACCATGTTGCTTATTACAGGCTGCCTGGCTGCTTCAGAGATGTTTGTCTGCTGCCAGAGGGACCTGTATGAAGCAAAAGCAATTGCATTACCCCCTTTCATCCCACCCACCCACCATCACCACCACCACCACCCCACCTCTCTCTCCGGCAGCCTGCAGCCTCCATCTGTGTGACGGCTTGGAGCAGTCACACGAAAACAAAGCCCCGAGGCGCCTGGACAAGAACTCCTGCGAGCCCAGCCAGGCTGCATGGGGCTTCACATTACGTCTCATCGAGCACTCTTACTGTTGCATCAACCCCTGCAATATATTTGTCTGTGAGCTCCGGCTGTGAGTTACACACAGGTAAAAGTGGCGATGCTTGCTTCTTATAGGGGGGTAAAGGCAGGTCTGTTTGTATCAGATGAGACAGGCGGGCTGCTGATCGCTGGCGGCTCGGTGCAAATTTGATGCGTTCGCTTTGTGTTTTGACTCAGAGCAATGCGATGTGTTATTGTGTCGTGAGGGGCTGGATTCCTTTAAACAGATGTTGAGCCTGTCCTGATGAATCACACAGAGAGAGACGTTAAGATAAGCAGAGAGTTTCGCAACATTTAATTTAATTAAAGCAGATGCAATGGGACTGGAGGACACTCGAGATGTAACAGCTCTGGAAGGCTCTGAAGTATGAGGATATAAGAGGGTGCAAATAAATATTGGAAATGTGTCCTTACGCGTTGCTATTCAAGCATGTGTGTGTCCTTATCTTCCATCTATCTGACTTTGTTAAGCTCTCAAACAAGAGTAGATAATGAATGTGTGTTTTCAAAAAGCCTGGTGGTTTTGGAGGCTGCGCTTGGCTGTGACTGGGATAAAACTATTTTATGTGGGGAAATAATAGGCGGAATGTTGTAAAATGCTCAAATGTAAAATGGCTTCCTCTAATAAAGCTTTTGAGGCTGCAGCAAGGGACGTGCCTCTGTTCCCCAGACAGATTTATGATTGCTGCGCAGCAATAAATTTCAATTCTGTTTTTATTCAAGTTACTTTCATAGGGATCATTGCTGATATAGTGTAGCTAGTGAAAAATGTGCTCATGAATACTTAAATTTAGTGCTCCACTTTTTTTCCTCCCTTTTTCAAATTTTCTTTACAGAGATATATATTGTCCTCTCACTCTTTTTTTACTGTGGTCTCATATTTTCTTCTAATCAGTAAATTCACAGAGGATTATGTAACTAAACTATAAAATGTGATGAAACACGTCAGAATGACCAGACCAATAAAAGATAGTTGACCCGTGTTTACCCTGTTAGAGTTTTACCACAGTTCATTATAAACACGGTTCAAAACCTTTAAAGTGAGGTTCTGTGGAAAGGTAATAAAGAAATAATGTCTTCCCTGATGTAGGCAGCTCTTTGTATGACCCCAGATTGTAGAAATAGTTCAGTTAAAACTTTGTTTTAAAACAGACAAAAGTTTCATCCTGGTTCTTGTAAATACTATATTATCATAGCCATCAGTTTCACATTATCAGATTATTCCCTCAGAAATATGATGGTAATCTTGCTGTGCTACAAATAACCACAAAATTCTCTGTAAATAACGGAGTAATCCAGATCTGATAGCATGTAAATGTTTAGAAAATAATGTTCATATGGACAGCAAGTGTTTTAAAGTGCCTGTGACACCAAATTCTTGTAATAAATATGAATGTATTTTTGGAATGATAACATTGAAAACATAATCGCAAATAACACTTCATGCTGCTGCGATGAACAGTTGTTGAGATATTTACATGTGAAGAAACAGGAAGTGATGTCAAAGGGGAATGTCTGAATATGKACAGAGCATTGCTACAGTGGCCAACAACCCAGACTGATTTTTCTTTATATTATTTTGAGTCTCTATCAGAGAGTGATGAACAAGAGTCAGAGTTCAATTATTTTGATAAATAAAAACCAGGGTGTTTCTTTTATTAAAAAATCCCCTTTGATGTCACTTCCTGTTTCACTTTGTTTGTGCCAAGTTCAACTAAAAGTTGGCCAGTTGTGTGATAAAATTGGTAAAATCACTTGTATTATGCCAAGTTTCTTAAATATAAAGATGCTTTCTTTGACTTTTTGTATTTGAAGGATATGCTTGTCCCAGGCACTTTAAGATGACAGTAATATAATTTGGTTTTACTTGGTAGCCATTGGTTCATTAATCTCATCAAAAATACTACAAAAGTACTCCTCCAAACAGGTTGTTTAAAACGTTAACCACCTGTAACTTTTCAACAAAACTCCCCTTCAAAAGGTCTGAACTACTGCTTTAACAGCCCATGCATTTGTAAGGACACTCAGATCAGTTGGAAGTGCACTCACAAGCAATCCTGATGTATGCTTTCTGGCTCTTTTGGGTTCCAGTGGTGCTCCAGGCGACACACTGACACCAGTATTCATCAAGGCCAAAAATCTTCTCCACCTGCTGTCTGGTGATTTCAATCGTCACCTGCATGACTGGCAGCGCTGCAAAGCAAGCAGAGACATAACAAAAACAATGAACACGTGCTCAGAATAAGACATCGGCTTGTCTGCCTGAAAACAAACTGAAGAGGAAGAACAACCGGGCAGACCTGAAACCTTCAGTGCGTTTTGTACCTTGAACTAAACCGGCAAAGTAATTAAAAAAAGAAGAAGAAYAAAAAAAGGAGCCTYGCAGAATGAACGAGCAGACAACCGTAATCCTATATAAACAGAGAGCTTGTTAACTGAGGAAAATGAGACGACAGCCTCCCAGCTATCCTTGCTGTAATTTGGAGGGCGTTAAAACGGCAACAGTTGGGAAATGATTTCGGAGTGCTAAACAAACCCTGCAAACAAAAATACCCAACGTACTGTAGGCCGCTTCTCCATTATCCAATCCGGAAGGGGAGGAAGAGTTCGATTTATAGAACATTTCTTCAACAGTGTAGATATAAGAGACGCTGTTGTAACATGAGGTAAAAAAAAAAAAAAAACTTATTGCTTTTCTGGCAGGAAGAACAGACATGTCTTCTCTAAATAAAGCAAAATTGGGCCAAAATCCATTCTGTTAAACCYTCCAAACAATGTAACATTGTCAAAGTCTCGTCTCTCATATCTTTGTGAAGAAATCTTTCATTTTATTTTCCTTTGCTCTTATATTCGGGGCCTACAATCCACAGGTATATTCTTATATATTGAGCTGCGACCTTGATCCCCACCATGTGCACCCCAGTGTCTTCTCTCTGATAAAAAGATTGCCATGTTTCTCTGAGCTTCCAGCCGTCGCTCCGTCTCATATCTTCTTATGGGTGAGAGGAGTTCATATGAGCACAGTACATTTTTGAAGTCACTGCGGACACAACCTGGAGACTGATAGAGGAGGAATACACAGACCATTATATTCAGATTCGACGGGGACCTTCTCCCCGACTGCCATTTGCATAAAAGCACTTTGTGACACTCTTCCACTCCCCTCGCAATCTTGATCCGTCTGAGCTCATCGTTTCCAGCTCCGGAGTGAGGCTTGAGGAAGTGGCACCTGTCAGGACAACAAACCTATACAGCAATTATGTTCTGCTTTTGTTGCAACGCATCAAAAACAAACAAGGATATTTTTTCTCTCTCTCTCTAAAAATAATTTCACAGATGAGCTCTGTGCTGGGCTGAAAGCGCAGCCTGGCCCAGTCGTGCCACAAACTGTTGACGTCCATCGCCGGCAGCCACACAGAGTGATAAGTAGCTGTGAGGGTCAATGGRAGACCGCCATGTATTCGTGTCTTAACGCAGAGGATTTTTGCTGAATGTGATCACGGTAAATGTCAGTCTGTGTGCTGGGAATCAAGCCCTGAAGCGCCTCTCAGAGCATCAACAACACCCCATGCCGCGCGRTTCACCAACAACTAATTTTAAAAAGGAAGAACTATTTGAAATTTCTGCGTGTTTGTTTTGCCTTTAATAATTCTGCCTAGAAGTCTCGGAAATGTTGATTCAGTTAAAAACAAATGCATTATTAAGAAACGGATGTTTACCCTCGCCTTGTCTTTTTGGATTTAGGCTCTTTTGTTAAGTGTGTGTGCGTTTGTGTGTGCTGATGTGTGCAAGTCTGCAGCAAGTGTGTCAGACTCAGGGTGAGAGAGCGCCTAAAAGCTACAACAAATGGCTAAAGTAGCAAAATGGGCACTATAGAGAATGAACAAATGGAGCAGAAGAAAAGCCCTTTCTCCCATCAAATCAACAGAGTCACAGAATCTGCATTTACTTTTACATACAGACAGCAAGAAAAGTGTATCAAATGTTCATATTTTTGAAGATAAATGCATCAAGTGCCAGAACTCTTTGTTCCCAATAGTTTGTATGTTAAATCCAATGAAGCACTGCATTGACAGAAAATACTAGTTTGACACATCGGGGGGGGGGGGGGGGGGTCCTCTGCAGTCACTAGTTTCTTATCGTGTGATTGATCTGTTCGACTTTTGTAAGTGTAATTTGTTAAATATTTGATTGTTTGGATTGGAGGGCTTTTACTTTGAAATTCTACATCATCTAATTTGCTGAGTCACATCTAGAGGCATTCTACAGTGACACTAAAGCGAGAATGGTCTTTGGAAACTAAATGTTTTGTTAAAATGTTTAATGGAGCCTTAAAAAACAAATGACATTCCCAAATAATTTTGGCAATCACCACAAAAACAGTGACAAAAGTAAAAACATTATCACTCCTTATTCYCAGGTGGACATTAAAATAATTTTATAACAAAGCAGCAAGAATGGCATCCGTCAACCAGAGTCAAATAATGAAAACATATTAGGGTATTTTTTTTTATTTATGTTACCAACCCAAAACCTTTTCCTGACTCCTTAATTTCATTGTGTTAATGTGCACAACAAAACTGGGTGAGGGTTGACTGGAGGCTGGCAGCGTAGTAAAAATCTGTGTCTTGCCTGTTTCAAACAACACTTTGACCAATGAGAAGTGTATTTCCAGACAGACCATGGTGTTGATATGTCCGCAAAGTCATGCAAAAGTAACACCAAGGCCACACAATATCAAAATCAAAGGAGTCTGCAGCACAGTTTTAAAATYTTTGATATTTGATGTAAGATTATAGTCAAAAATGCAAAAAAAAGTTAGAAYAATGGTATTTTTTGAACCATATGTGAAAATAAAGAAAGAAGTCATTTTGTTCTTTTTTTGATTTTCAATTAAAGAACAATTGAATGAATGTTACACAGACCCAAGAGGGTGTTAGTTGCACTAAATTTGAAGTCAACAAATTATATTTATATGTTCACAATAATGCTARTAKTTCTTTTTTTATTCGCCCCACAAGACAAGTCAACTGGATCAATCACGGTTTTGCTAAACTCCACCCACATCAAGAACCCCACCAATCACGGTTAAGAAAATTCTGCCCACACAGACAAGAAAATTCCCCAATGTACAGACCCCCACTTGTACAACAAATTTAAACAGTTCATTTTTGTTGTTGTACTTTTTAAAATATCTACCAATATGCATTAGTTTCTAAAAAAGGTTGCACCAATCAAACCTTTTTAACTCGAAGGTGCTTGAGTGACGACTGGCATAATATCAGTAATGCTTTGAAGTTTTTAATGTTACCATCATAATAAAGCTTTTATCAATAAGAGACTGGAAAGCTGAAGTCAGTTGTGTGATATTTAACGTCGCTGCCTTCCTGAGGCAAGCTGATGCAGCACYTTTTTCTACATACCACTGAAGTCTGGTCTTATTTTTTAACTTTCAGCTCTCCACAGCAAGAGGAAGTGTTGATGTCTAAGTTTAACGTTACTGCCTCTGTGATGCTGCCGTAGTCTTCATCTGAGTTGTCAGAGGTGGTTGTGTTGTGACGGCGGAGCGTAGAATTCTTAATGTAAAGCTGACAACGTTGGACATTTAAAGAGCACAGATGTTCACACGCTCGCTCTCCAACCCAGTTCTTCTCAGAATCTGATTCAGTGTTTCTGTTTGTGTTGGACAAGTTGGAAGTCAACAGAAAAAAGGTAAAGTACTTAGTGCTCCACCATCTTTTTAAAGTTAAAAAACACCACTGGTAATACATAATACACATACATTTATAATATTCTCAGAAAGGATGCGTGGTTGCAACAAGAATAGAGATTCAAGGAAACAAAAAAACAAAACAAAAACAAAAGACAATGTAGTCAAGTCGACCTCAAACCTGAAAGCTAAACTAAATTGTGGGAAACTCCTTCAGTTTTAAACGAGACAACTGAAAAAAAAAAACATTTGATGACCCTGATTCCCTCTCAGCAGTTCATGTGAAGAAAATGGGGGAAAATATCGGAATACTTACATTCAATATACATCACTAAGTGGTGTTCTGGGCTTTGTGTTGCTCTAAGCACAATAAAATTACATTGGATTAATGCAAACCTCCTTTCCCTTTTGAGCTGGAGGGTGCATGGACTGAAGATCTGTATGGAGATGGATGGCAGGAACAATAGCAACCTGAGGTGAGAAATCCTAAGAAGAGCAATTTGAAGCTTGCTGGGCTAATTGCATTCAGTTTCCTTATCTCTTCCTGTCTCCATAATTACCTGCTTTCTGTGTCTGACACCTTTCAGTTACACTCCTCTGAGTCACTCTGTCTAATTTCACTCCAATTAATAAGAAGGACAAAATAATCTCAACAATTTAGGAGCAAAAATCTAAATTTTAAGCAATAATATTGATTAGAAAGGTTGCCATTTATTTATTGGGTTTCACAAAAGTTACATTCATTTAGAGGGTCTAATAAAAAAAGACAACTCTAAAGTTATCAAAAAATGACACATACAGAAGTTATTTATTTATAAACTAAATCAGTCTTTATGACTCAACTGTACTAAAAATACAACTTTTAACAATATCATCTGAAGCCTCAGAGGTGCCAAGAAAAAGGCAAATTTACACTTCCTTTCCTGTAAAATACTTAAAATTCTTGTTAAATGATAATTAAAACATGACAATTCCCTCAGCCTTTGGTTTGATATGAGGCCCATTTATGAATGAGCTCATATCCCAAACCTCAGTGAAACTGCAGTGAAACATTTAAAGGGTGATTATGTGACTGACACCGCATGAATCCTAGACTTACAGCTGGAACCCTGGAGAGTTCATCTTTATTGGAGCTGTGACAGGGCAACGTGCCAGGCTGTGCACAACCACGATAAGATTTGGAAAGTGCACACCTCTTTTGTAACATGACATGGAAATTATGAGACTGGCAAAAATCCCCAACAAGCATATGAATACTGAAAGCATCAGAATGAGCTTCTTTAGCATTTTGCAGTAATACGCCCAAACTTCCTCTGAATTTTTGTTTATTCCTATTATATAAAATATTAATATCTCAGATTTTCTAGTTTTACAAAGACTATCATCATCATCAAACTTTATTTATAAAGTGCTTTAACACCAGCCACAGCTGAAACAAATGCTGAACATCTGAAATACGTAGGATAAAGGAAAGTATAAAAAA